ATTTTTTGAGATGGAGTCTCCGCTCCTGTCCACCCAGGCCTAGAAGTGCAGTGGTGTGATCTTCTTCCAACCGGCAAGGCTCACCTCTGGGGTCGCAAGCCAACTCCCTCTTGCCCCTCCAGATCATCCGCCCCCAGTAGGTGAAAACCTACAGGGGGCGCCACCACCAACGCCAGCTTTTTGTAACCTTTTTTTTTTTTTTGACACACACCTCGGCTCCTGTCGCCCAGGCTGGAGTGCAGTGGGCCGGATCTCGGCCTCACCTGCGCAAGCTCCGGCCTCCCGGGTTCACGGGCCATTCTGCCTGGCCTCCCCCAGCTCCCGAGTAGCACGGACTAACAGGCGCCCCGGCCACCTGCGGCTAAGTTTTTGTAAAGTTGTTATTTTTAGTAAAGAGAGCGGGGTTTCACCCGTGTTAGCCAGGATGGTCTCGATCTCCTGACCCTCCACGTGATCCGCCCCCGTACACTCGGCCTCAAAGTGTTAGCCAGGATGGTCTCAATCTCCTGACCTCAGGTGATCCGCCCGCCCTGGCCTCCCAAAGTGCTGGGATTACAGGCATGAGCCACTGCGCCTGGCCCTTTCTTTTTTTCTCTGACAAAAGCAAAACGTTTGTGTATCTTCTTGGCCACCCAGAGAGTCATGGACAATCCTGGGACCTGAACTCCGTGTATGGCCCAAGCCCCTTCACCCAGTCTCCCAGCTTGGTGGACACCGGGCCCAGGCAGTACAGTACACAGTAAAACTGGCCTGATTCAGGTCGGGCATGGTAGCTCATGCCTGTAATCCTAGGACTTCCGGAGGCTGAGGAAGGAGGATCACTTGAGGCCCAGAGTTCAAGACCAGCCTGGGCAACACAGTGAGACACCCCCATGTCTATTAAAAATAAATAAATAATGAAAATCTGCCTCATTTGACCACGAGCAGCACCTTTTGAATTCTGAAACTCGGCAATAACCACGACAGAGAGATATGGGTGGGGCTGTTTCTGTCCTTCCCACAACCCCAACCCCCACTATAGGGTACACACTGAAAGAGACACAGGGCACACAAAAGCGGACGCCTGGGTGGCTTCACCTCGACCTTTTTTATTTGCATTTTTTAAAAACAATTAAATTAGAATACAAATATTAGAAAACAGCGGCCTTCAGCTGCCCGTGCGGGCGGGAGGGGCCGAGCTGCGCAGCGGGCTGCGGGCTCTGCAGCGAGACTGAACTGCCCTCGGCCAGATGCACATCCCTTTCTTTAGACCTGAAATGATATTGCTTCCTGACTAGGAGTTCTGTTTATACAAAGGAAAATTCTGGGCTGGGGAGGATAAAAGCAAAACAGACCGCAGGCAGCAGGTCTGGAGAACCAGGTAAGGTCGGTGCCCTGCCTGTGCCCCGGTCTCCTGGGGGGCGAGGGGGGTGCCCAGCTGCGGGATCCTGGAGGCAGAGCCCCGGAAGCGCCCCCAGTTGTTGGACCCTGAGGCCAAGGGCATGGGTGGGGCCTGCGAAGGGCCGGGAACCCCTGGGGACAGGAGGGAGGCCCCTGGTCTGGTCCTGCTGGAAAAGCAAGGCTCCCGGGGGACAGGGTGCCAGCCTCGTACCCGTCGGAAAACCAAGAGCAAAAAGGAGAGGAATCAACCCAAACAAGAGCTGGGGTGGCCGGAGTCCCTGCTGCCCCTTGGGAAGCGACCACCCCCCGTGCCCCAAGGACTGGGGCATGGTGGCGGCAGCGGCGGCGGCAGCTGTGGACATCTGTGGACATCTGTGCTGTTCCGTAGGGAAGTTAACCTGAATTGGAGTTACCGAGGTAGCTGGCTAGAAAACTGAGACCCCCCCACGCCACACGGTGCCGCACCCTGGGCCCCCGCCTTCCCCGGGGGTTCCTGGCCACACGCCGGGTCTTCAAAATACCAAATTATTGCACTTTCAAAAAATACAACACATCTGTGGCTAAACCCTCCCCAGCCGCCCACCGTCCCCCAATCCTGCCCGCCCATCCCCCCGCCCCACTGCCCCTCCCGGCCCCAACCCACTCCATGGCTTCTTGGCTACAACGCTCGTTGCTCGGTGCGTGAGGGTCTCTGGGTGAGGATGTGTTTGCAGAGAAAAAGCAAAGGAAGAGACAAACGTCAAAGTGGTCGCCAGAGAGGGGCTGTGCCCTGCCGCCCGCCGCCCGGGGCCCTGCGCACCGGCTGGAATGGTCGTGGGAAGAGGGTGGCGGGCAGCTGGGCATCCGGAGGGGAGGGCGCGGGGCAGCGTCCTGGTCCCTCCCGCCCACTACCCCTTCCCGGCTCGGACTCTAGCCGGGGAGGTGGCTGTGTGGGTGGCCGGCCTTGTTTTTAAGAGTTTGACTTTTTTGTTTCATTTTTCTTTTTTGTATCTTTTTTTGTCATTTTACTTTTTTTTTAATCCCCCATAGGAGAGTCCAGAGGTACAGGTGCCAGGAGCCAGGCAAAGGGGTGGAAAAACAAAAGGAACGACAAGAAAAAGAACAAGAAAGGTCACTCCTCCCTCTGTGCCTGAGGCTGGCCCGCGCCCCTCTGCGTGGTGAGCACCAGGAAAGTCGAGTGTGCGGCCGGGGTCAGCAGGCCGGCACCAGGCCCTTCTGGAAGGGGCAGCGGCGCTTGGGCCGGGGGCCCTCTTCGTCGTCCTCCTCCTCCTCCTCTTCCTCTTCCTCCTCATCCTCTGAGGACGATGAGCTGTCCAGCGTGAGGTCCACCACGTCGGCGCCCGGCTTTCCATTCTCCACGCCGCTCACCGGGCCGCCGCCACCCGTGCTGCCCAGGGCACTGCTCCCGTTGACGCTGGGGGCAGGCAGGAGCCCATTGGCATCCGAGGGGCCTGCGGGTGACAGCGACAGGGTGCAGGTACTTAGGATGCAACCACTGATAAATGGGGAAACTGAGGCGGCCCTGGCTGGGGACTGCGCGGTTGGTGGTGGCGAGGCACTCACCCAGCACGAGGATGGCGCCCTGCGGGCTGCAGCTGCGCTCCTTTTCGGCGCGGATTGGGCACCACGACCCGTCCACCAGGTACTCGATCTCGTCGGCGTCCTCACACTCGCTCAGGATCTTCGAGAGGAGCCTGGGGCGAGGCGGACAGCTGACGATGCGGCTGGGGGTGCCCCGCCCCCCCCACTCCCCAGCCCTCCATTCCTCCTGGATGCCGCCAGGCACTTCCCACTTCTCTCTGCAAGAGCAGCTTCACGCCCCGACTACAGGGGTCCAGGGGCCCTGAATTCCCTCCCCTGGCCTCAGGCTCCTGCAGGTGCTGATCCCCGGCAGGTCATGCGCAGGGCACCGCCAGGGGTGGTGGGGCAAGGATGCACAAAACCAGTGGCCCCCAACTACCCACAAGAGCAGGGGATGTGGGGGCTGCAGGGGTCCTGCCCTCCCTGCCCCTCTGGGCACCTCCAGGTGTGCATGCATGTTTGTATGGGGATGTGACAGTGTATCTGTGCATGTGTGCAGACGTGTGCATGGATGCATGTGTACAAGCGCACACGTGAGTGTATGTGTGCAACCATGTGGATGCATGTGGGCATACGTGAATGTGGACTGTATGGATGTGTGTGTGTATGTGTGACAGTGTGGACTGTATGGATGTGTGTGTGACGGTGTGGACTGTATGGATGTGTGTGATAGTGTAGACTATATAGATTGTGTGTGTGACTGTGTACTGTAGACTGTGTGACGGTGTATCGATTGTGTGTGTGTGACACTGTGGTCTGTATCAATTTGTGTGTGTGACGGTGTGGTATCGATTGTGTGTGTGACAGTGTGGACTGTATTGACTGTGTGTGTCAGTGTGGACTGTATGAATGTATGTATGATGGTGTGGACCGTATAGGTGTGTGTGTGATGGTGTGGACTGTATGGATGTGTGTGTATGTGTGACAGTGTGGACTGTATGGATGGGTGTGTGATGGTGTGGACTGTATGGATGGGTGTGTATATGACAGTGTGGACTGTATGGATTGGGTAGTGTGCTGGATGACAGTGTTGGAACTGTCATGGATGGGTGTGTGGGACAGTGGTGGACTGTATGATGGGTGTGTTGTCATGGTGGACGTACTGGATGTGGTGTGTTATGAAGTTGTGGTACTGTATGGATGGGTGTTGTATATGAACGTGTGGACTGTCATGGATGTGTGTGTGTATGACGCGTGTGGGACTGGTATGGTGATGGGTAGGTGTGATGGACAGTGTGATCTGTTAATGGATGGTGTGTGTTGTGATGGGGTGTGGACGTATGATGGGTTGTGTTATGACGTGTGGACTGTCATGGATGTGTGTGTTGTGTGGATAGTGATGTATGGGGATGGGTGTGTGTATGACAGTGTGGACTGTATGGATGGGTGTGTATGTGATGGTGTGGACTATGGATGTTTGTGTATATGACAGTGTGGACTGTATGGATGGGTGTGTATATGACAGTGTGGACTGTATGGATGGGTGTGTATATGACAGTGTGGACTGTATGGATGGGTGTGTATGTGATGGTGTGGACTATGGATGTTTGTGTATATGACAGTGTGGATTGTATGGATGTTTGTGTATATGACAGTGTGGACTGTATGGATGGGTGTGTATATGACAGTGTGGACTGTATGGATGTGTTTGTGTGTATGTGTGACGGTGTGGACTGTATAGGTGTGTGCATGTGTGATGTGAACCGTATGGATTGTGTATGTGTGATGGTGTGGACCGTATGGATGTGTGTGTGTGTTCGCATGAGGGTGTGGACTATGGATGTGTGGGGGGGTGTGTGATGGTGTGGACTGTAGGGATGTGGGTATGTGGGTGTGGGTTACGGTGTGGACTGTATGGGTGTGGGGGTGTGTGAGACGGTGTGGACCACATCCATGTGTGGGCATGCGGGTGTGCGCCCACATCTGCTTTCATACTGCACTGTGTGCCCCCCAGATCAGGAAACGGCCTGCAGTGAAGGCTGCTCAAAGCCCCTGCAGAGGCTGTGAGGGCAGCACTGGAAGCAGAGCGGGGGCTCCCCATGCCCATCCCAGCCACAGCCTCTCCAGAGCGCCCCCGCTGTGTACGGCCTTCTTCCTTGGAGGTCCTACCAGTCCCATTTCACAAACGCAGAAACAGGGGCTCAGGAAGGGGATGAGTTCCCTGAGGCCACAGGGCCAATTGGAGGCAGGCACTGGTTCTGCTCCCCAACCCCGTCCTGGCCAAAGGGCCTCGGTCTCCCCACCCGCAGGATGGGAAGGGCGCAGTGGCTGGGGGGCGTCTGGGGAGAGGCCCCATGCCTCATGGGTCCATGCAGGGCCCAGGCTGGCCTGTTACTGTCAAGGCTACAGCTGCTCCCAGGCGCCTGCAGTGGCGTCGTTCTCATCACACAGGAGAGCCCTCGTCCCGCTCTGGGCGACATTTTTTTTTTTTTTTTTTTTTTGAGACGGAGTCTCGCTCTGTCCCCCAGGCTGGAGTGCAGTGGCCGGATCTCGGCTCACTACAAGCTCCGCCTCCCGGGTTCATGCCATTCTCCTGCCTCAGCCTCCCGAGGAGCTGGGACTACAGGCGCCCACCACCGCGCCGGCTAATTTTTTGTATTTTTAGTGGAGACGGGGTTTCACTGTGGTCTTGATCTCCTGACCTCGTGATCCACCCGCCTCGGCCTCCCAAAGTGCTAGGATTACAGGCGTGAGCCACCATACCCAGCCTTCTGGGCGACACTTTCTGAGGCTGATGGGACTCCTCTCACCCAGGCCAGCCCCCCCGCCCGCCGCACCGAGGTCTCTCTGAGGCAATGCTCAGAGCCCCCTGTGCCGGGGGGCCACCCCAGGCGTAGCACAGCTCTGCCTGCTCACTGCCCTGTTTGCAAAACTCCTTCTCACCCTCCAAAGTCCCACCCCACAGCTTCTCTTCCTCCTCTCCAAGACAGACACAGCAGTTTATGTCTGGCTCTGCTCCTCTATCTGCTCCCCCTGCCAAGAACAAGGCTCCCTGTAGGCAGGGTCTGGAACAGGACTCTTTTGGGGACCCTGGGGTCACCCACTCAGAGCCAGGGACAGAGAGATGACAGGGCTCATGGAACAAAGTATGAATCAAGGACCTCTCCTCCGGGAAGCCTCCCTGGCTACACTGAGTCCCATGGGCTGCTGAGGCCAAGGCCTGTGTGGGATACAGCTGCCTGCCCCAGCCCTGGTGGCCCTGGAGCTGTGAGAGCTGTAAGAGCTGCCGCCACCCCAAGCCCAAGCCCCACTCCGGGCCTGTGGGGGAAGGCGGGCACCCGGCTGCACAGCTGTCAAGCTAGGAACAGAGCAGCCATTCAGGCAGTCCACGTGCCCGGCCCCAGGGTCTCCTCTCTCTACCCGAAGCTGGGATGCAAGGGGGTGGCCACCCAGCCCCCCCCCAGAGGGGACCCAGACTCAGGCCAAGTTCAAGTCCCAGTCTGGCCCCCTGTGAGCCGAGGGGGGCTCTGGCTGCTGGCTGCCTCCTCTGAGCCTGTTTCCTTGTCTGTAAAATGGGGAAGCTCACAGGTCTGCCTCCCAGGATGGGGACAACTGCACAAACCGGAGGTCTACTTAGGGACCAAATCTATGACCCCAGAGGCAGGCCAGCCCTGCCTTCACCTGCACGGTCCACTGAGGCCGTGCACCCGAGGGCTGGGGGCCCAGCTCACCCCCCCAGGCAGGGCCTGCTCCCGCCTGTGAGGGCACCAGCTCGTGCCGCTGTGGCCTCACGCCCTGCCACAGGCTCTGGGGACGAGAAGTGGGCGTGGCCGGCGCCGGGCAGGAGCCGCATCAGGTGCCACAGACAACAGGGCTCAGTTTCTGGAAACTTAAGCCCTGGGCAGAGCCTCCCTCCAGGGAGAAAGGTCTTGTCCTCCTGTCCCCTGTGGCCTGGGGAATGCCTGGCCACAGCTGTGCCACCCAGGAAGGGAAGGGTATGGCGTGGCCAGAGCACTCCAGGGGGCACCACCTCCTTTGCCTCTCTGTGAGGAGCCACCCCCATTGCTGCGCGTCCTGGGGCAAATGCCGTGTGAAAGCAGAGCCCGGCTTGGTTTTTTGGGGCAAAAACCACACTCCTGGAGCTCAAGGTCACACCTGCCTGAGGTCATGTGGGAGCGGGGTGGACCTGAGCCCACCTTCTGCAGCCTAAGCTACATGCCTATCGCCTGCACAGCAAAGGCTCTGAAAAGTTCCGCGAGGAAGAAACGGGCTCTTCTCACAGCCCGGGGCTTCCAAAGCTCCGGGACCACATGTCCCCACTGCTGTGTCTTGCTGGGGCAGCACGGGGTCTGCGGGAAGCAGGGTGCCACCGAGATCTCCACGGCCGTCCGGCTCCGGCCGCCCTCCCGGGGCCCCAGGCTCACCCATCGATGATGAGCTGGTCGTAGGGGGCTGGCTTGTCGCACACGGGGCACATCCAGGTGGGCTTCTTCTCATTCATCTGCAGGTAGAAGACGGCGTCGAAGCACTGCAGGTGGGCGCAGGTCTCTGCCCGGCAGGGCACAGAGAGCCGCATCTTCACCAGCTGCGGGGGAGGGGCTGCGTGAGCATGGCACCCGTCTGCTGTGCCCGCCCACCCGGCACCCCTCACCCCCAGCTCCATCCTGTGGCTTGTTCCAACGCTCATGCCTCAGGAACACGGGGGGACCAAGACCAGCCTTGCCCCCGCAGGCTCACGGTCCAGCCAAGATGCCCTGGGCCCAGGGCCACCAGGGAGGAAGTACAGCCACAGGAGAGGCCCCAAGGAGGAGGCTGCCCCAACTCACCGGGCAGATGAGGGACACCCGCACACCAGTGGTGGCGATCTCGCTGTCGGGATCGAGGCGCAGCTTCTCCTTGACTGTGGGGAGGGAACGGAGGACGCCGTCAGAGAGGTGGGCACAGTGGGGCACAGGGCTGGGATTCGGGTTCTCCCCAGCACCCATGACCACCTCCCAGAACGGATGCCCCAAAAACGAGCCTTGAGCCTCGCTGTGTGGCTCAGGGCCACGAGGGACCAGAGGAAGTCAGGCAGCGACCACCATTAGATTTGACCACAACCTGGGCGCACCACAGACCCAGCCGAAGCCCCCACACGCAGGTGGCCTATGTGGCCTCCCCTACCCCGCGTGGGCTGTGACCCATGGGACTTTTCTGGAAAGTTTCATGCAACACAGCCACCGACGGGGTCATTGCTGTGACTTAATTCCGTCACCGACGCACCATCCCCAAGGCCACAGTGGGGAATGAGGCAGGGATTCCTTTGGGAGATGGACCCAGGGGCCTCCCGGCTGTGAGCCAGGAAGCGGCCGCCGCCCAGACCCGGACACCACGCCGAGGCAGCCCGCACACCCCGAAGTGTAGCTGCTTCTTTAAAGGAAAAGACGGTGCCCGCCAGCAAGCTGCACGGAACACACGGAAACACGTGAAACATGAAGGCTCGGGGCAGGCGCCGCCCTCCCCTCCACAGGCAGCAGGCCCACAGCCAGAAGGAACTCACGCGGGGACCCCGGCTGCCTCCTGACACTTCTGGGATGCGGCTAAACTCCATCCTCGGCTAGCTCAGGACAGCCCCCAGCCCTGGGCCCTGCAGGGCAGACCACCCTGGCCCACAGTCCACAGGGCCTCTCCATCCACCACCTGGCCCTCAGCTGCCTAGTGGACCAGTTTTGCTTCCTCTAGGAAGCCACCTGCCCAACCGACTTGGGGTTCAGAGTGATGGTGCCAGCCTGTCTCCCCGCTTCCCCCAGCTGTCCTGACGTTTCTCTGTCTGGAAGTGCTCCTACCACCCCTTGTCGGCCTGAAACACCACTTATCTCTGGCCGCTTGGAAGCCACTTCCTCCTTCCTGACCCCCACCCAGCCCCCCGGCCTGTGTGTGCAGCAGTGGGTTCTTCCTTCTCCCGTAGGGACGCAGTGGCAGCCACAAGCTGGCCAGCACGGTCTGGCCCCCTCGCAGGCTCCCAGCAGCTCTCCTGCTTGAGCCAAGGCTGCCCTAGTCGCTCACTCCTTGGCTAAGTTTCCACCCCTGGGACCCAGCTCTGGCTACCCGGTGCCCACGTGGACCCTCACGCCTGGCAAAGGGGCCCTGGGCAGCTAGGAGGGGATGCAGGTGCCCATCTGATTTTAAAGCAAGCTCTCCCTTCTCCATGTACAGAAAGACATGTGCAGCAGGAAGGGTTCAAGTGAGGCAAACATGAGGACTTCCTAGGTGCAACGAGAAAAAAATCCAGTGACAAAGAGGCTAAGGCTGGGGCCAGCTGTGGGAAGCGGCAGGAGACCCCTTCAGAGAGGAAATCTGACCCTGCAGCCCCCAGCACTGCAGGGCTCTGGTCACTGAGGAGTTAAGGCCGGCCCCCACCCCATGGGCCTAGAAGAGGCCTGCCCGGCCCCAGCCTCCTCCCTCAAGTTGGCCATTGTCCCCAAAGGAAAGGAAGGTGGGGGGGGTCGAAGAAAGGGCCCTTTGAGGGAAGAGGGAGGCAGGGTGGGGAAACCCAGGTCACAGAACCCTAACTTTGCGACTCTGTGCCTCAGTGTCCCCACTGGTCCTACGGGGACATCGCCAGGCCCTCCCTCCCTGAGCCTGGAGGAGGCTGGCCAGGGATGCGGGACTCTGCGGTGGGCACCCTCACCCCTGCACATCCTGCTCTGCAGAGGGGGTGCTGCCGGCTATCCTTCCTGACTTGGGGGACCGGAGTGTGCAGGAAGCTTCAACACGATGGGGCTCGCAGGTCCCTGGCAGTGCCACCACTGCTCCAGGCTTCTGGACACCCAGGCTAGTAGGTGCCCTTTGGTGGTCAGGAACAGGGGCCAGAGGCCCAGGCCTGGCTGTGCCAGGAGGGCAGTGCTCATGGGGAACTCTCAGGCCTGGGCACAGGAGCCCTGGGCAGCTAGGAGGGGCAGCTGGGAGACCCTCTGGCCCCCATTCTGCCAAGCGGCTGGGGTGGTGCCCAGATTCCACCTGAAAACAGCGAGCATTCTGGAAGGGGGCACGAGCTAACCCGGCTGGCCCAGAACCACCCTCTTCTCAGTCTGGCAGGTGGTCCCAGTCCTCGCCCACCTGCCCAACTCCCACTCCCAGCTCCAAAGGACTCCAGGTTAGGCCTAGTCTCTCCATAGAACAGGCCTGTGGAGCCCACTGAGGCCTGAGCCCCAAGCATGTGGGGTCCAGAGAGAGGCCCAGGTGCCCTCAAGATGGCTCAGATCTATTCTCCTGAAGACAGTGGCCACCAGAGAAAGCCAGTGACTTTCCAAGGCCACACAGCCACCAAGCAGGGCTAACTGTACGCTGGCTTTGTGCTGTGCGGCTGCACGGGGGGACTGATTCACCTGCCCAGCTTGGCAGGCTTTTTTTGTTTTTTTGAGACGGAGTCTCACTCTCCCAGGCTGGAGTGCAGTGGCCGGATCTCAGCTCACTGCAAGCTCCGCCTCCCGGGTTCATGCCATTCTCCTGCCTCAGCCTCCCGAGGAGCTGGGACTACAGGCGCCCACCACCGCGCCGGCTAATTTTTTGTATTTTTAGTGGAGACGGGGTTTCACTGTGGTCTTGATCTCCTGACCTCGTGATCCACCCGCCTCGGCCTCCCAAAGTGCTAGGATTACAGGCGTGAGCCACCATACCCAGCCTTCTGGGCGACACTTTCTGAGGCTGATGGGACTCCTCTCACCCAGGCCAGCCCCCCCGCCCGCCGCACCGAGGTCTCTCTGAGGCAATGCTCAGAGCCCCCTGTGCCGGGGGGCCACCCCAGGCGTAGCACAGCTCTGCCTGCTCACTGCCCTGTTTGCAAAACTCCTTCTCACCCTCCAAAGTCCCACCCCACAGCTTCTCTTCCTCCTCTCCAAGACAGACACAGCAGTTTATGTCTGGCTCTGCTCCTCTATCTGCTCCCCCTGCCAAGAACAAGGCTCCCTGTAGGCAGGGTCTGGAACAGGACTCTTTTGGGGACCCTGGGGTCACCCACTCAGAGCCAGGGACAGAGAGATGACAGGGCTCATGGAACAAAGTATGAATCAAGGACCTCTCCTCCGGGAAGCCTCCCTGGCTACACTGAGTCCCATGGGCTGCTGAGGCCAAGGCCTGTGTGGGATACAGCTGCCTGCCCCAGCCCTGGTGGCCCTGGAGCTGTGAGAGCTGTAAGAGCTGCCGCCACCCCAAGCCCAAGCCCCACTCC